TTGATACAAATGGAACCCCATACCCCATGCTAGTAACGGGTTGGACCCCCTTTTGCCTTCAGAACTGCCTCAATTCTTGGTGGCATAGATTCAACAAGGTGCTGGAAGCATTCCTCAGGGAGTTTGGTCCATATTGACATGATGGCATCACACAGTTGCCGCAGATTTGTCGGCTGCACATCCATGATGCGAATCTCCCGTTCCACCACATCCCAAAGATGCTCTATTGGATTGAGATCTGGTGACTGTGGAGGCCATTTGAGTACAGTGAACTCATTGTCATGTTCAAGAAACCAGTCTGAGATGATTCCAGCTTTATGACATGGCGCATTATCCTGCTGAAAGTAGCCATCAGAAGTTGGGTACATTGTGGTCATAAAGGGATGGACATGGTCAGCAACAATACTCAGGTAGGCTGTGGCGTTGCAACGATGCTCAATTGGTACCAAGGGGCCCAAAGAGTGCCAAGAAAATATTCCCCACACCATGACACCACCACCACTAGGGGTGGGTATTGCCAAAGACGTCACGATTCGATTTTAATCACGATTCATATGCCACGATGCGATTCTATCACGATGCATCACGATACTTGAATTATTGCGATGCATTGCAATATTTTCTCCTCCATGTTTTGTTTTTGAATGACTCTGCGCAGTATCCCGTGGCCGGAAATGCTTGTGACACAAGGCAGCGTGCGTCAACACATCCGCAGCGACATCTACTGGACTGGAAGTTGTATTACACTTGTTTTTGGCTGATGTTCGCCAACCATTCATGAAATTTTATTTATAAATTTTTTTAAATTAATAATCGATACTTGGTGTCAAGAATCGATGCAGTAGGTCACGAAAATTAGAATCACGATGCATCATCATGATGATTATTTTGCACACCCCTAACCACCACCAGCCTGAACCGTTGATACAAGGCAGGATGGATCCATGCTTTCATGTTGTAGACGCCAAATTCTGACCCTACCATCCGAATGTCGCAGCAGAAATCCAGACTCATCAGACCAGGCAACGTTTTTCCAATCTTCTATTGTCCAATTTCCATGAGCTTGTGCAAATTGTAGCCTCAGTTTCCTGTTCTTAGCTGAAAGGAGTGGCACCCGGTGTGGTCTTCTGCTGCTGTAGCCCATCTGCCTCAAAGTTCCACGTACTGTGCGTTCAGAGATGCTCTTCTGCCCACCTTGGTTGTAACGGGTGGTTATTTGAGTCACTGTTGCCCTTCTATCAGCTCGAACCAGTCTGGCCATTCTCCTCTGACCTCTGGCATCAACAAGGCATTTCCGCCCACAGAACTGCCGCTCACTGGATGTTTTTTCTTTTTCGGACCATTCTCTGTAAACCCTAGAGATGGTTGTGCGTGAAAATCCCAGTAGATCAGCAGTTTCTGAAATACTCAGACCAGCCCTTCTGGCACCAACAATCACGCCACGTTCAAAGTCACTCAAATCACCTTTCTTCCCCATACTGATGCTCGCTTTGAACTGCAGGAGATTGTCTTGACCATGTCTACATGCCTAAATGCACTGAGTTGCCGCCATGTGATTGGCTGCTTAGAAATTAAGTGTTAACGAGCAGTTGGACAGGTGTACCTAATAAAGTGGCCGGTGAGTCTAGACATATGCATTATAGACATATGCAACATAGACATATGCATTATAGACATATGCAGACAACACATATGCAACAACAGCACATCTAGACATTTTACATCTGCTTATTTTTGACACAAATGGAACCCCATATATATATATGTCCATATGTATGTGTGCATGTATGTATGTGTGTGTGTATGTATATCCCATTTTACTAAACATTCATCAGTGTGATGGCAGCGGGGAAGAAGCGGCTGCATTTGCCGAACGTGCTGTTTGGGCCGGCAGACCCAACATTTATATTAAAGGCGCACTATGCAACATTTTTCAGTTAATTAATGTGTTCCATAACGTTTTGGATGATTAAATGAGTCATTTCAGGTTGAACAAAGGTTTTCTCGGCCGCCCTGGTGGTCTGTAGGGGAAATACCGCACTTGCAATTGCAGGAGCACCGACCCGCACCCACAGGCTCAGAAGTCTCGTGAGAGTCAGTCTTGCTTTACGGCGAGAACTGCTACACGCCCCCAGTTAAAAGCATGCTCGTTGCTAGCACAGTGGCGATCTTTGTGCAGTTATCATGGCGGAACCAGCGTGAAAACAGCAAAAGCCCATGTCTGAGCAGGCAAGAAAGAGGAAAAGGGCTCTGGACAGAGAGAGGAGTCGTACACGGGTGAACATCGGGCAAGCTTTTTCCGAGTGGCGAGAGCTAAAAGAAAAAGAAGGCTGCAAGGCTGACGCGGACCTCGCGTTTCTGCTGATGCGATTGTAAGTAACATTGGAATGGTTTCTCTCTCTCTGTGTGCATGTTCATACTGTCTGCTAAGCTCAAAACAACCGCGCCTGGCTTGACGGAGAAACCTGGAGAACAGCTGAGCATATTTACGACAGTGCACTTTTACTTTCGCCCTCTGGGGGGAGCCTCGCTGGAAAATCAACACCGGTTGCATAGTATACCTTTAATAATATGTATTATTATTATTATTATTATTATTATTATTATTATTATTATTATATATCGGCCTCGTTATATTTGCATAATGCATGAAGAAAAATCCAATCAGCAGCGTAGAGTCTGTTCCGATCATCCGGCCCTTACCTCAGGCTACTGCAGCCCATTGGTTATCATCCCTGTCAGTCTAAAGGGCTAGGCCAATCAGAAAGTAGAGAAACACCTTCACTCTCCATTGGAACTTTGTGCAGCGGGGTTCACTGTAGTAATGGAGAAGAAACGCAAGGGAGGCGCAGAGAAACTGCACGAAAAAAGAAGTTCTTCAAACGGACGCAGCGAAATGTGTCCAAACTGACTGATATGTTCCCATCAGCAGGCTCTTCATCTGCTCCGGTGTCTGATGTTAAATATGATGGTGGAGGTGGTTCTGCGTTCTAATGCAGACAACGCGTGTAAAATACGCGCGTTTTCCTAATATGATAATAATGTCCCTCCTTTTCCCACAGCCAATGCATTGAACTGGTTGCATCCAGTCGCTGATCAAGGCAGCCAGACCAACATAGTTGAGCCCAGATCTGCTTTGTGAAACTCTGCACAGAGCTCTGTGTGTCATTGTTACCAAACTTCACTGCATTGCCATTTCACAAAGCCTTTAGGAATAGAATGACTGCATGCTCTTTGCTCTTTGAATCCATTTCCAGGCCTATCTCCATGGACATGTATGGGTAACTAATGCATAGTGCTTTCCAGGTATCAGTAGGAACGGTTCCCCATGGTTTCTAACTGAACAGTCGTGGGTGAAGCATGCAGGTTGGAGTCCGGCTGAGACGGTTTGATTTTTCCCTTTCTATTCTCTCTCGTCTATAACCAAGCCCGTTTCTTAGTTTCTTTTTATTTTGAGATTACATAAATGTAGCCTTCTTCTCTGTTGTTGTTGATCCATCTCCATTCATTATTTAATGTAAAAATGTTTCACATTGACATACATTAATGTAAGCTGTCATCCACCTTAGTTTGCCTTGGGATGAATAACAGAACTCTGCCCCACTTTACGTAGTCCTGATTAATGATGAATGTGTCTCTATAATCTGCAATGATCCAATGTGTGCAATGGTTGTTCAGTGGTTACAGTGGTCATTCAGCTGGTAATTTAACCCCCCCCCCCCACAGAGACACCTACTCACTGATGTCTCTCTCTCTTTCTGTCTGTATTCCACTCGGCTTCCTTTTCTTTTCTCGTTGTCAGGTTCGTGTCTTTGTGCAGTTTTTTTGGGGGTAGAAATGTTGATGTTTTTGGCTGCGGTTTCACAGGAATGTGCAGCCTGCTGATAGTTATTTTGACCTGTAGATGGCGCCACACAACTAGTGATGGCAGAGCCCCCAGTAGGACAGTTCAGTTTTACTGTTCATTGCCCCAGTGGAAGGAAGACATTGCAACATATAGATAATTATCAATTACTGTTTATGGATGATATAAAAATGAGCAACTTTAATACAATGAAATATGGAACATGTGGAGGATATTAGAACAGGGATGGGAAATATCTGGCAGACGCAAAGTACACAAACAAATCCTTAGCATGTGCCTTTGGTTTCTAAAGGTGCAAAAGGTGGATTACTGTTAAATATGGATCCTCCACCCCATTAGAGCAATCATAGTCAAATTGCAGGGGGTCCATGAGAAAGCGGGTAGAATCCCTATGAAAAGGAGTCCAGAAAAGCCACCAGGTCACGGATGATTTGTAGTCCATGCTGTCCCCTGGGTCCACCTAAGGGGTCCAACTGTCCCTGTATTTGCTCCACCGCTGCCTCTTCCATAATGACGTCTATCGAAGCAACAGTTACTCTCTCTGGCCAGTCTAGCAACAACGCAGCCTCTTCCTGTGATGCAGGAGCATCAGGCTCTCCAGCAGCTCTAGCAGCACCATCAGCTTGAGGAGGTAGAGGCTGTATATCATTCACAGCAGGGACAGCTGCAGTCACGGAAAAAATGTCCTGCATGGCAGTCCAACTCCTTCCATGCTGGTGGAGACACCCTTGCACAAACATCTGCAGTGACCTTCTGTCCTCAGCCCCTGGTTGTTCCAATGATTGCAAAAATCAGCCAAATCTGGGTTGAGCCTCGGGGGGTAGACATGGAGAGCCCAGAGGTGCATGTCATTATCAGGGTTGATTATTTCCTCACTCTCCAGAAAGTGGAACAGCTCATGGTACACACTGACCAGTCCACGCCAGAGGCCCCCCCAGAGCCTCTCTATACACTGGCTGTGTACACTCCTCCCCTGAATGGCACTGCCCCGTGGAAACCTCTGAAGATGTTCATAAGCTCAGACACTGCAGCGTTTTTTCCCTCCTCGGTCAGTCCTGACCCGGGAGGGCGCACCATAGCAAGCCACAGCATTCAAACACTGCAGTGCTGCGGTTGTTAGAGGAGGCTCTGTAGAAGCGAATTGTGTTGCCTCAGGTCATCGTGACCTTAAGCTCACAATGATTGATAACACAGAGCAAGCAGTCTGGAGGCCACGTACTCATCTTGGCTTGACTGCCAGGATAAGTCTGGAAAAACAAAATCATTAGGCCCACTCGCACGCAATCCGGTCACTAGCCAAGAACTTCCAGGAAATGTTATCAGAGCGTCCAGTCGTGCACATACATCCACACAGTGCAATGTTGAAACTATATAAACGCCCAGATTTGAATGAGGAGTTGAGGAAAAAGCTAGATGTGTTCTGTTGAAATGTGAAGCGCTGTGTTACGTGTACTGAGGACAGCATGTGAATTTGATCTATAAAATAAACGCTTTTTCTCCCGTCCTGTGGCAATCAGATGATCGACTGAAGGTGTCCTGATTTTTGACCATTGAAAACCACCACATTTGATGCATTGGCCGAGCTGAGAAAAGAACCCGGGAACAACTTTAGAATCAGGAGAAGGTAGGTCAAATCCCTTGATCCTATTTTAATGACTGATATAAAGCAGATCACTTAAGCTGCTTGGAAGCTGGACACACATTTAAACTGTATCAGACGATTATCTGTTTGCCACTGGATGTTTGCTGCAGCATAAATTGGCATCTTGAGATAAATAGTAGCTGTCGAGAACTGGCTCGGATTTTTGTTTTGGATGATTAATAGTAATCTGCTGAAGCGAGATTGCACCATAACTTTATAGAAATTGGTGGAAACTGGCGGTCACGGATTATAAGTGATGTATCATTATGAATGATGCAACTAATATGTATATCTCATTCTAGTGAGGAAAATAAATTTCCTAGTTTAATATGTCGCCGAGTCGCAGTTCGACTGAGCCTGAAAGGCTGTTGTTGTTGAGAAATAGGCCTGAAGTCCAGAGGGACTATATCGAGATCTCAGTTGTTGAAGTTGTTTATCTCCGGAGAAAGAAGCAACAGAGAGCAGTGTGGCTCTGTGTTGATGATGTTAGACCAAAAGTTGATAAAAGAGTTGGAAAGTGCATGCAAATTAGTTTAAATTGGCTGCTTGGGTCTATGAAGTTAAAGAATTCTGTGCACAACCGATTAATTGCCATGGCATGTAATGGTATGAATGTCTAAAGAGCTCTGTGTGACTCTGTATTAACGTGTGACTCTGTGTGATTCTGTATGTGTGTTTGAAATCTAAGTGTACACTAAAAACATCTGTTTAAATTCAAACCTCCTTCCAGAATCTGTAATCAGATCTGCTTAATCACTGTAATTTAATCAGACTGAAAACAGTGTAGAGTAAGATCCAGTCCCTACAAAATGTAGAGATGTTTAATAACCTCTCCTAAGTGTCCCAGAGGACATAAGAGGTCAAAATAAAAGGAGGAAATAAAAGTCATTAAATAAGGGAATCAAAACATAAAAAGTGAAAATAATTGCATAAATAAGTCTAAAAACATAAAAGACTAAACAAAAGAAAGAAAGTGATCACTTTATATCTGTAAAAGACGTCTGCTCTCACTTCAATTGTAACTGCGTCACATTTTCTAATAGCTGACCTGCATGAAAAATAGGAGTCCAGTTGTTTGTTCCAACAGAAAAGGCTTAATTGTGCCCAATCTTTAAACATACTTGGTCGAAAAGTTGTTAATTATTACAGAACAATTTGTTACGTAAACAGTGGATAGAAGAGAAGTTTCAAAATTTGTAAGACAACATCTAAAAAGTTTCAAAACAAGTTTTTCTTAGTAAAAGCCCCCTCCCTTTTTCTTCTCTTCTCCTATGAGCCTGTCTGTGTGTGCGCTGACACACACACACACACTGGAAGCTAAAAACGCCACGACGTTCTGTATCTGTTAAATAGGACTATATATTACTATAAACAAAACTATGTTAGAAGCCGGCATGTGTCTGTCTGTCTGTCTGTCTTTATGTTCTTTGTCTGTCTGTCTGTCTGTTCTATGTTGTTTGTTCAATGTCAACATGTCTGTCTGGGGTATAAAATATTAGTTCTATTATGTTTCAGTATAAACAGATCAATAGTAGAATTAAACAGCAGATAATTAGATTACAGTTATGTTAAAACATAGATTAATATGGCAATAAACATAAAATCCCATGAAGAACTGGATTCTCTCTATGCATCCACGTCCGGACATATGATAAGAAAGGTATGCAGGAAACCTGTTGCTGAAAAAGTCGAATTTCTGCACGTTCTATTTGGATGCGTTTTGAGTAATTCAGTAATGAGTGGGACCAAAGTCATCAGAAAATACTACAAGACAAACAATGACAAAACTTTCGAAAAAGAAAATACAAATAATGTGCACAAGAAATAGGATCTGGTCTAGACATTTTCTATTATAAAGTGTTTGGTTTTAGTTATATTTTGTTTATGTTGTTTTGCAAATGCTATCGATGTTGCTGTGATTTCTGGAGGTGAACCTTGAGAGGAGCTGAAATCATTGATTTAAAGTGTTGAACCTCTTTTTCAAATGTTTATAAAAAGTGAAAAACTATGGTCGATTTTATAAGAAATATATTGATTAATATATTTACATCTTACTATGTCTTGAAATTAACATGTTAAAGGTAGAAAATCGATTTGTACTAAAGTTCTGTAAACCCCCCCCCCCTCCCACCTCCCGCCCAACAGTAAGGTCCAAAAATGGTTCTGAATTCTGTCCCGAGGCAAACGGAAACTCAACACACACACATTTTCAACACACACACATTTTCAACACACACACATTTTCTACACACAGATATTATTTCCTGACTCACACACAGCTGCTTGTGTCACTGAGAGACAGAAGGAGAAGCACAGTTACCAGAGTTTAAGCAGGGGCGATCAAAATAGAATTAGGGCCCGAGGGTTTCGAAGCATTTTTAACTGAAAACAATGTACTGATTGTTACACTAGAATGATATTGTTGACGGCATGTAAAGAGACTGATTTTTAAGCTTATATTTGATTATGATAAACCCCACATGATTAGACAAATCCTTCCTTTGCACATAGATGACAGAATTAGATTACTCCTGAGTTATGTTGATCTTACTGTAGCAAAGTGAATAAGTGAAACACTAATTATTAAGAATACTTAAAGGTGAATTTTCAAAAAGAGCAAGTTACATTTATGCTAAGGATTTCTTAATGTAATTAACTTTTGATGAAACTTGATAGAACAAATACAACTCAACAATTATTAGGGGTAAGAGATAAATAAAATGAAGTCCTTTTAACACCTTGAAGCAAAAGCTGGAAAGTGGTTTTGCTATGGGAAAATTATGATTTATAAATAGTTTTTTCATAAAACAATTAACAAGGCAAATTAATAACATGGAGAATTTAATTAAACTTCAAACAGTATTGTGGTTGTCTTAAACATGGGGTGTTGTGGAGGACGTGCATTATTATTTACAGAGTAATGAAAATGGTATGTAGACACAGGAGTTGGATGAGTTTGGCTGAAAGGTTAGGATACGGTGCCCTGAGCCCAGGGGGGCTCGGAGCGGCACGAGAGTCCTCAGACTTGTGACCAGCTGATCACTAAATGCCGAGGTGAGCCTGTTGAACTGAAGCCGTGCAGCCGAGACCGAATGAGGCGGAGACTGGAGGAATCACGGTCATCTAGCCGAAGCGGCTCGAGCAAAGAACACTGGCAGAACTAGAAAGTGCTGCAGCTAACATGAAAAGCTTGGAGGGAAGTGCTGGCCTTGTGGTTGGGGCATAGAGCTTGGAATCCTGAGGTTGCGAGTTTGAAACCCTCTTCCACAGACTGCCACTCTGGGTCTCTGAGCAAGACCCTTAACCCTGACTGCTCTCTGGTGCCCAATGATGGCAGCCACTGCTGAGATCAATAAAAACTTCAATTAATTAATAAACTCGGCCAAAATAGGAGATGTTTCTGTCGCTGGTTGCTGGACGTGAAGAAGCTGCAAAAAAAAAAACCAAACACATCAGATACTCAAATTAACACAGCTTTATGGTCAGAGTAAGTGAATTATGGTTTATTTATGTGCAACAGCAGAGATCAGCAAAACATTTACATTTACATGGTGTCTAAAATAACATCTATTCTGTCTTACAAAACAACCTATAGGTTTAACTGTACTTCTAATTCTAAAGCATCTATTGAAAACTGAATACAATCAAAATTTGTAATCAACGTCTTAGAGCAGCTGTGATTATCTTAAAATAAAATTACATTCCAAACCTTGTCATGATTTTCTTTATAGCAAAACTATTTTGTAACATCATAATGCATTACGTTCTGGTTCAGATACTTTCTAAAACAAACGCTTAACAAAATATGGTCAGTATTTAATATAGAATGATGTGAAGTTTGCTGAGCACATTATGAGACTTAGAACCAGCATGAGGAAGAATATCTCATATCACATTTAGCAGAGACATTTTAGGACTTAGAGAAAACATGCTGATCAGTTCATGCAATTAGAATTAAGTAACACTGACATTTAGATAAGTTAATAACATTAGAGTAAGATTTTGTCCTTTCTTTTCTTTTCCTTTTTCTGTTCATCTTAGAACAACTTGTTTCCAGCTTTGGGGGACAGAACTCACACCGACATTCTGTGTAAACCTGCTGATGTTTACTTCACAAAGACTGAATTAGAATTGGGAAAACTAAAAGCAGTAATTAATAAGCTTCAAAATGTTCAGAATATGTTACTAATTGCCACTATGTAAATCATTACAACGGTTACATCCTGAATCCTATGGGATGCTGTTTGAACCTTTCTTTTACTTTTAGTTTGTTTTTGGAACAGTTAAGTTGAAAAACCACCAGCTATGATTTGTAAAGATTCAGCCAACAGTGAATCTACAGATGTTATTTCAAATATTACAAATCAGTGTTCTTCATTATGACTATATTCTCTGTTAAGGTTGATAAACATGATGTATTAATTGATCAAAGGTTTGAATGGGAAAGATCAAACATTTCCAGACCAGTTTTATTTTTTAAGTACAAAGGCTCAGCCTCCCTACTGCAGGACACAATGTGGACCAGGTTTTAATTGCACATTCTGCATTAACAACGTACTAATTATTCTGCTTTAAGTTTCTCTTCACAGACGCTGCTAAACCTGAAACCTTTTCTGAAGGAAGACTCACGGTTTGTGCCAAATGTCATAGTAAGGTAGGAAAACTATTAATGGATATTACATAGAGCTCAGCTGCTGATACTTTAGATGTGCTTCCAAATTCAGTGATTTAAAACAAACAGTCTATAGTATTAAGAACTAAATCAGAAGATAGAGACATGTGAAAATTATGTGACTATGTCAGAATAGGTCATGATTCAAATCAATTAAATAGAAACCTTCAGTATGAACCTCCTAGTGATTATCTAGGCACAAAGTAGAATGTAAGATTAACATGTGCACCTGTAAACTATATGGAATATAAATATTAGAGAATGCAAAAGAAGCTGCTAAACGTAAATATATCAGGAAACTTAAATTAAGACTGTCTACAACATAAAATAAAATTAAAGCAGCAGAAGCCTATGCAGTATTTAAAGACAAAAAATTTCCATAAATTAGAGATTCTAAGAGATTCTATGAATCCTTAAATAATGCACTAGATGTACTTCTGAAAAATGTTAAGTAAAACTAAGAAATCAACATTCAGACTAGTTTTACAATAATAAACCAGGATGTTTATTTAAGTTAGACTTTCTCTCCCCAGCATCAGGACTAGCTGCTTACTCAATAAGATACAGAAATAGAGAATAATGTTTGCAATGTTTTTGTACAAAATGTTACTTGGATTTTGAATAAAACTCTTACATCCTAAAGTGAGAGCAACATGTATTTAATTCAATATATGAGCTTGAAACAGAACAAAGAAGCAGATCTGGTTCAAGAAGTGAAGAACCGATTATATTAATAGATGTGAGAGGTTAGTTATGCTTTAGATTACATTAGATGATTCTACGTGAAGCGTAGAATGAAAACTGTTTACTGCACTAAAGAGTAATATAGAGACAGATCAGAATCCTAAATGCAGATGACAAAACAAATTATAGGCTAAAACAGACTAAATACAGTTCTAGCTCAAAGCCGAATAAAGTATGTTAATACTTACTCAAATATCTTTGTGTTTCGAAAGACTTTTTCTGTCCGTCTCTCTCTTGCTTGCTCCATGGAGAGAGGAAAAGTCACTCTGCATTCCAGTCTGATTAAGCAACTTCCGTCCACAGGAAAACAACTTTTTATTTTTTGTAGCTTGGCAGAGAACTACAGAAGTGATTAAGGTTAAAGTTGGTACACTAACTTGTTTATGAATATCCAAGACGAAACGTACAACCTTAAAAGGGTTACATTCCTGGTTATCTGTACCGAGCCAACTAATATCTAACAGGATAAACATTATAAATAAGTAAAAGTAAAAATGTATCTCTGCAGAATTTGCAAGATCAAGGATTAGTTTAATTTAGAAATCAGACTTTACACAAATAAGATGAAAAGTTAAGCATAATTTCAGTCTCCAATACGAAACGCAGATTGTCACACATGTTCTTAATACATTTCTAACAGTAAAACACTGAATAAAAACAGGCTTTACAACTGGAAAAGCACCTTAAGATTTGAATTCAGGAATATTATGTAAGTGTGAGATTATGTGATCCAAGTGTATAAACTGTCCGATAAATCCTAGATCTAGATGCATTGACAAATGTTGTTATAAAGCACAGAAAGCCAGAATGCAGATTGTATTTAAAGATAATGTAGGATGGCACTCAACTTGCTTCCAGAGGAAAAAGGATTTTTGCTTTTATTCTCATTATTACTATGCTGCTAAAATCTTTAGTACTTCTTACTACTCTTGTGCATGAAAACCCTGGTTAACAAAATTGGAACAGAAGGCTAAGATAATAAGGAACAATATTCTCAGTGTTTAAATTTTTTAGAGCAAGGATCACCAAATTGCCCCCAGATGATGCCTCCACCCTGTGACAAAATGGCTGAGCCTCGGTACGCTATGGAGCCTGAAAAGAACACCTGAGAGCTGAGAGCGGTTTGACTATATTATTTCTTGTCTTTTCTTTCATAATCTAATTCCCCTGAAAGAGGAACCTGTTTAAGGGTCGCATTGTAAATTCAAATTATTATTTTACTCATGTTTTTTTGTTTTCTTTCCTTGTGTCATTAACATATAATTGGGGATTGATGCACTTCGAGGAAAAGGACCCAGGAACTCTGTGATGAGAAGGACCTTACAGAGGAATAGAAAAGGTGATGAAGTTCCAGTGTATTTATCTCACACTTAGCTGTGTTAACAAGTATTTAAATTACAAGATTCCTGAAAGTATTGTGGAGCGATTTGAAGCTGTAACACCGATTGCACAGTAGGATTGGACTGCCATTTTCTTTGAGTAAAGTTTTCTCCTGTTTTTGTTATTTTAGGAAGGTAAGATGATTGTAATTTATTTCATGTTTCTTTGAACAGGTAAGATGATCCAACAAAAGATAGACTTTTATTTGTTGTTTTGGCCTGAGGTCCAATCTGAAGTCCTACAATCGTGTTACATGATTTATTTCATTATTATCAGAAAGGTTAATTCTCTGAGATTTAAATTTTACAGATTATTGGAGAATATTTGGAAATATTAATAATTGCGGATAAGAGAGAAGATACACCAAGAGACAATGGGACTTTACTGCAACAATCAAAAGTTCTCTTAATTTAATTTGAACATTAATTACAGAAACTGGACTCATGAAAAACAGGATGTGTTACATCTCTAGATTTAGTTTCAAGATACTGGTCAGTTTTTTTCTTTCCTCGCAGGATAACATCTGATAGTGAGATTTAAGGACACTGGGAAAAGGACTGCCCTTACTCTGGATCCACATAAGCCATGGACACATGAACGATATGCGAGGCCCACGGGGCCAGGACAACCAAGGAGCAGACTGACTGAACTCAAATAATAAGGGAGGTACATCAAAGAGTAATGGAAGGACAAGAGGACCAGCGAACTCTAGCTACTCGTCGAAAGAATGCAACACCAAGGAGCCACCAGGAGATGGATGACCGACAGGATCAGATGTGATGAAAGCATCACAGGAGGGAATGGGATCCTTCTCCAATTGAATTAGATAAGTCAAACACTACGTACAACAATAGGACAATATTATTGTCTATGATTAGTTGATATTTGCTGATAAGAACACTAATTGTGGTTTTTCTGTCTTACTCATTTTGAGGGGATGGATTGTAAAGACCGGTGACCCCAGGCATAAGACTGCAAACCTTCAACTTCCGCCTGCAAAATACTAAAGGCGGGAACCTGTGATCCTGTGTTTATGCCTTTAAAAGCCAAGGACAGAGCCCTGAAGTGAAAGAACTATATTTTTGATTTTTTTCAACAGGAAAGAAGACAACACAATTATTGATTATTCTTGTATTCTGTAAATATAAACCTGATGATTGTAACATGCCATTGCTTTGCATTATAACCTGTATTACTGTTTATTATTTCACATTGTAAACCATACATGGGTGGCTGTTTAGAGGACTGGGGACTCAGACTATTGACTGACTGACCTACTTAATTTTCTTTTTCTTTCATTTACCTAGCTTATATACTACAATACACTATAACTAAGTTCGAGTTATTTGAAATGTTTTGAATAGTTACCCTTCACATATCAATTAATATCAAGATTGGGTTGAATGGTTCAAACAGTGTTGGTTTCACAGATCATCATGAGTAGCATGGTCAGGATGCGATTTGTGCTACGGCCGACGCCGGAGGAAGGATGGATGTTTGGGGGAAGCATGGGTCGATGGGATAGTTTCCTCTTACATGAGTATGAAATGAAAGAGTAAGATGCCCACAGGACGAAAAAGGGGTTTTCGATCCCATACTAATCGAATCATGGCCATGTGGAAAATGATGATCTTTCTTTGAAGGTTCAGTAATATTCACTTTGTTTTGTTATTTGCTTTAGTTTTGTTATTAATCATGACATTTAATTTGTTTTTCTCAACTTGCATCCAGACTGGGCTGCGTCGGTAACACTTAGATACTGTTTCATTTAAACTTCACATACACATAAGTGCACTTAGTTGCGTTATATTACCATCACTATGCAAATTCTCATTAATACTTCATTTTCAATGAACTACAGGAGGGAATGTAGAAGCGAATTGTGTTGCCTCAGGTCATCGTGACCTTAAGCTCACAATGATTGATAACACAGAGCAAGCAGTCTGGAGGCCACGTACTCATCTTGGCTTGACTGCCAGGATAAGTCTGGAAAAACAAAATCATTAGGCCCACTCGCACGCAATCCGGTCACTAGCCAAGAACTTCCAGGAAATGTTATCAGAGCGTCCAGTCGTGCACATACATCCACACAGTGCAATGTTGAAACTATATAAACGCCCAGATTTGAATGAGGAGTTGAGGAAAAAGCTAGATGTGTTCTGTTGAAATGTGAAGCGCTGTGTTACGTGTACTGAGGACAGCATGTGAATTTGATCTATAAAATAAACGCTTTTTCTCCCGTCCTGTGGCAATCAGATGATCGACTGAAGGTGTCCTGATTTTTGACCATTGAAAACCACCAGGGGTGTCAAACTGGTTCCAGAAAGGGCCGTGTGGCTGCAGGTTTTCTTTCCAACCAAGCAATAGCACACCAGACTCAATTCATCTCATCAAGAGTCCAATCTGAAGATGATGACTTGATGAGATGACTGGAGTCTGGTGTGCTATTGATTGGTTGGAAAGAAAACCTGCAGCCACACGGCCCTTTCTGGAACCAGTTTGACACCCCTGCTCTAAGGAAAACAACCAGGTGACTGTAGCCATCTATTCCACCATGGATGACAATCCTCCACCTAAAAACACATTCTTAATGTTAATGTAAGCAATGACAGAAAGGTGCTAAATATCTGTGAATAAGTGCATTTTGAAAAGATAAAGAGCTTATCAATCTGTGGTTACCATCAATGTGCCACAAACAGTTAGGACCTTTCACACTGTAACTTCGTCTCTCCGGTCTGTTCAGCAACCACCTTAGCGCAGCGCCCCCCCCGGGTTTGTGCGCAGCAAGCTTTTCCGCACCCTTCTTCTTTGCACAGGACCTCCCCTCGCACGCAGTGACGCTCTTACAGACTCAGGACCTAACATGTCATGCCTGCCACCACCTCTCTGACTAATTCATCTAATTCGTTGTCTGGCATGCTGGAATATGCTCGGCCCAAGAGGAACAGCCTGTTATAGAATGATAGCAGTCATTGTCATTATAAGTCAGATAAAAGTGGGATTTCAAAGATTAACCATAAAGAGTAAACATAAATAAACATAATGAAACATAGAAACATCATGATAACCCACTGTAAAACTACTGAAGACTATATTCACTTATAAACTAAACCAATACAAACTTTTGCAAAACACTGGAGGTAAATACAATATGCATTATTTAACATGATTTGACAATAAAGTGGCTAGCAGCATCAGAGTGGTATAGGGACATGGGCATTAATAACGCCAATAACCATTTTCAGTATAGAGGGGGCCTGATGTTCTAAAGCCTCTGTCCATTCCTTACTCTATCTTTGCATAACTAAGTTATTTTAAAAAAATGCATGTGCAGGAAAACCTCCGATTGTATCAGTACATGCATAAACTGTCATGCTGAGAACGTGTGACTCTGAAGAAGACAAAAAATATGAGACAGTTGGATATGAGAAAAAGTTTATTGAAGAAATGGATAAGATCGGATTTCGGCTGTTCGGAGGTCTGGTGAGCTCTGCTGGAAAAGATAGGGAGGATGGTGAATAAACTGAGCTTTGGGATTTGTGAGATTCTGGTTTAGATGGTGAACTCACGGAGGTGGCGGCTAGGGGCTTGGTCTGGGGAAAGAAGTGCTGTTCGGTGGTCCGGGTTGTTGGTGCAGGTCCAGATTCTCTCTCAGTGTTGGTTTGTTGGAGAGTGGACAGGCAGGCGAGCGCAGGCAGGAGGGCTGACAGAAGGATCCGGGGCTTCTTCTCTGGAAAGAGAATTTTCCAGGTGTCTGACTCTGATTCGAGGCCTTAAACTGGATGGCTTTCTGGAAGGAAATCACAGGGACTAGGTTAGGTTAGGTCTCACAGAGAACGAGGCAAACAAAGAGTTGGTCTGTACCACGCAGAAGCGTAAACGTACTGACGCCCAGTGTTGTGCCTGAACGCGTTCATTGAACGAAAGTTCAT